TTTTATGCAATGCTGCGTTGTGTAAAAATGGATTAAACAGCTGGTCGGATGCAACCATCACCTCTGGAGCTACCACCTTCGGAGGGCCTGTGGCTCAGTGGTAGAGCATCTGCTTGGCATGCAGAACACCACCGGGTCAATCCTTAGCATCTCCAATTAAGGATCCGGTGGTGTGAATGGCCTCAGCCTGAGATTCTGAAGAGCCACTGTCAGTCTGAGTAGACAATACTGACCTTGATGGACCAACAATCTGCTTCAGTATAAAGCAGCTTTATAGGTGTTCACTATAAGAATTTAATGGAAGAGACTGTGGCTCGGTGGAAGAGCCTCTGCTACACACGCAGAAGATCCCAGGTTCAGTCCCCGGCATCTCCAGTTAAAAGGATCAGGTAGTAGGTGATGTGAAAGACCTAAGACCCTGAACAGCTGCTGCCAGTTTGTGTAGATAATACTGACCTTGATGAACTGATGGTCTTATTCAGTATAATGAAGCTTCATGTGTGTGTTCCAAGGCTGAAGTCAAGCAGCTAGACTATCAGAGGTTACCCAGACACACATAAATACTGCATGACAGAGATTCTCCTTCTTCCCAGTTCCTGAAAGTACAGTAAATTCTCTGCTGCACTCTTAGACTTGGAGAGAGTGTGGTACATCTCAGTGGCCCTTACTTCCTTGGCTGTAGCAAGTGGCAACTGAGATGTAGCAAGCAAAACATTAATTTGGCAGGAACAGAAGCTCAGGTGCCTTGCGTCCATACTAAGCCTGGCGAACCCAGCAGCTTTACCGATTTAAGCCAGTTGCATCCAACACAATTCTCTACCATACTTGAAAGGAGCTCTGAGCAAAGGCAGTTTATTGCCGCTCACAAGGCTGGTGCCCAGACACGGGACACAAGAATCCTGGGGGAAACCTTACAATCTGCCTCACAACCTCACAAGCTGCCTGTGCAGCTTGCAGCCTCCCGGCCAACAAAATGTTGTGCGTGTTTAGAACCAGGCACTTCAGTTCAGCCAGTAATACAGTCACCAAAATTCTTAAGCATGGGAATAATCAAGTCACTAGCATGTCACACAAAGGCAGCAATCCTAATTCTGTTAATTACACTATTTATTTATTATAAAAAACTTATACACTATCTTCCCAGAGGCCTATTTGAGGCAGCTCACAAGGTTAAAACAAAGTACAATTAAAATCTTAAGCACAACTACCATAAAATTAACAATATTAAGACAAGCCAAGAACCCACCAGGGGCATAAACAACATCCATTCAGCAACTTAAAATGATATCCTTTACACAGCCCTCAAGCATAACATAAAAACCACTTAAAATGATGTCCCCTTCAGTTAAAGAGTAATGTTTTGGCCTCACTTTAAAGGGCAGTAAAGCCTTTAAGATTCACCAGCCAAGTCTCAAAGGGGAGGGAATTCCCAAGGCAAGGGGAGGTCACCACGGAAAATGCCCCTTCTGTGGTTGCTGTTGGCTAACTTCTGCAGGTGGGACACAGAGAGGAGGACACAGGAAGAGGATTTTAACGGCCAAGCTGGACAGTACAGGAAGAGACATTTCACATATTATAGTACTAACTCCAATAATAAATAGAGAAATCAACATGAGCAGATGTTCCCAGGCAAGGAGAAAAACAAGACCAGCAATTTGGCTCAGTCTCTGTTTTCTAAAAAACTGGCCCTTATTTCCACCCCCCCCAAAAAAAAAAAATTAAAGCTGATGTTTGGTAGCCTCAAATACGAACAATAAACACAGAGAGATAGAGAGAATATCCCTTTTAAAACATCAAGCAGTGGCACACCCAGATAATACAAACATTAGGAAATGGAAAGTTCATGATCACAGTTATTTGCAAAAGCCCTATTACTTTAAAGGCAGAAACAGCCACCCAAAAGCAGAAATATTAGAAAGACCCATGGTCTGGGAGCCCCACTGCAGATTGCAAAAGTCCATTAAAGAACTAGGGAAAATATCAACTTAATAAAAATTACAGGATGTTATGTTATAAAATATACATGGGTCCTTTCATTTAACAATATCCTGTTTAGTCAGAATTTATTATAACCCCACATTGTATACTTAAAAATGAAGCATGGAGTATTTTGAAACGATGTATTACATTTTTAATACTGCTCACCCTATCTTTTAACATCTGGCTTTAACTAGGAGTTCAGAACACTCAGACTTCTAGGTTTTATTGAAGAAACTGTAGAGGTGCAATGTGAAAAACTGGTGGGATTACAAGTGCAATCCTAAACAGAATTACACTTTTCTAAACTCATAAATTTAAAAGGGTGTGACTTTGTTCAGGATTGGAGTTAGCTGATGGTGTTTTGCTTGCATCTTCGCTGCCAATGATAATTCAGTTGCATGAGGAACTGTCCAGCACAGAGCAACACAAATGGCACACATTAATTGAAGGAAGGCAAGGACAGGCTTTTTACTAACTACTATTTCTAACTGATTATAAATCTACTAATTCAAATTACTATTGCACTTGTCAACCAATTTTTTTTTAAATATGAAGAAAGGTTAAAATGCTTGGGGTTCTGAAGCTTGGAGAAACAACAGCTGAGGGGTGACATGATCGAGGTTTATAAGATTACGCATGGGATAGAGCAGGTAGAGAAAGAAGTACTTTTCTTCCTTTCTCACAATACAAGAACTCGTGGGCACTCCATGAAATTGCTGAGCAGTCAGGTTAGAACAGATAAAGAGAAGTACTTCTTCACCCAGAGAGTGATTAATACATGGAATTCACTGCCACAGGAGGTGGTGGCGGCTACAAGCATGGACGGCTTCAAGAGGGAATTAGATAAACATATGGAGCAGAGGTCCATCAGTGGCTATTAGCCACAAGGTATAGATAGGAACTCTCAGGCTGGGGCAAGTGATGCTCTGTATTCTTGGTGCTTGGGGAGGCAGCAGTGGGAGGGCTTCTAGTGTCTTGGCCCCACTGGTGGACCTCCTGATGACACCTGGTATTTTTGGTCACTGTGTGACGGAGTGTTGGACTGGATGGGCCATTGGCCTGATCCAACATTGGCTTCTCTTATGTTCTTAAGAGCTGATGGGCTTTACCCAGAACAGAAACAAAAGCATCAATGCCTGGGGATCGTTTCAGAGGGTGCTCTTGCTGGTCTGCAGCAGAGCGGCTGGATTCGAGACCACTAGCACATTAGAGAGCAACAAGATTCACAGGTATAACGTTTAGAGAGTCAAAGCTCCCTTTGGTATCTGACGAAGGGAGCTTTGACTCTTATACCCGAAAAGCTTATACCCGAAAAGCTTCTTGGTCTCTAAGATGCTACTGGACTTGAACCTAGCTGAATATCTGAAGCATATTCTGATGGCAGCTAAATGAGTAAAACATGTTGAGATATAGTTTGCCTCCCTATACTCCTTACTAGAAGTCTGATATATGCTAAGCAACCCTGATTCCCCCTTGCCCTTAATCCAGCTCTCTTGAAATAGGCTAACGTCAAATGACCATTATCACTATCTCCAACGAGAGCAAAGGCTATCCAAGATCACTAGTCCTATCACTCTGTATCCTCCCTTGTACAAGTTAGAACGGATAAAAGGAAGTACTTCTTCACCCAAAGAGTGATTAACACTTGGAATTCACTGCCACAGGAAGTGGTGGCGGCTATAAGCATGGACGGCTTCAAAAGGGAATTAGATAAGCATATGGAGCAGAGGTCCATCAGTGGCTATTAGCCACAAGGTATAGATAGGGACTCTGGGGCAAGTGATGCTCTGTCATCTTGGTGCTTGGGGGGGGTCAACAGTGGGAGGGCTTCTAATGTCCTGGCCCCACTGGTGGACCTCCTGATGGCACTGGTATTTCTGGCCACTGTGGGATACAGAGTGTTGGACTGGATGGGCCTTTGGCCTGATCCAACATTGGCGTCTCTTATGTTCTTATGTTCTTAAGTATGAACATTCCTGACATTTTCTGAGCCGGAGGGGAAAAAACAAGACAGTTCTCTATATTTCATATGAGTTGCTAATAATCCCATGTGGCTTCCCAGTTATCTCAAAGTTTTAGTTAATCAACAAAACATACTTTTGCTTTTTTTCCCCTTCTGCGTAAGCAACTGCGATTCCTCATAAGCCAGTAAGCCCATGGTTCACCTCCTTGAAACACATAACACTTGAAGAATTATCTAGGAATAGGTTATGACCTAATGTTTAAATATTATTTGTTTTTCAAGGATGTGTTCTTAATAATGAGATCCACAGAGGATCTCCTAACAAGAAAATAGCAACACAAAGGCTAACGTAAAAGATGTTTTGCTACGACAACTCCATGAGCCATCTGGATAAATGATGGATATTAATGGTGAAGGATATCTAATTTTTAAAAAAGAAACCGTATACAGAACCGCCTATCTTTTCACATTTCCCTAGTTATCTACAACAGTCGTCGCAACAGGAAGAATCTTATCAGGTCACAAGTATCTCCTTGGTGGTCTCTGCCCGAACCTTGAGAAACAGAACACTGATTAACCAGTGGATGGATACTGTCGGGGGAAGGCAGCCCTCCTCAGAGCTGAATCCTTTGGCAACATTCCTTGCTGGAGTAACAATTGTAAACCGGATCCCTGTCTAACAAAAATCCAAATGAATTACAACCAGGCTGCCAATTAGGGATATTTCCAAACAATCCATGGAACACACACATTGTTAATTTATGGTCACAAGGAAGCTAAACATCTTTCCCCACTATGACAACTACTGTTGCAGGGGGACCAAGACTCTTTCCTCAAAACAGAGTGCCTGCCTATAGCTCCTTTAAAAAAAAATGGTTTTAAGGTCTTTCTTCCCAGCATTTTTAGCATGCCGTCACTTCAGACACTTCAGTGACAATAACACAAACACATTCCAAGCCCATCGTGGCTGAATAATTATATGCCAACTATTTTAAATTAGCAGCTAGAAAAGATGAAGGCATACAAAGACAGGGTAGGGAAGAAGAACTGGACTCACCTTCACGTACGCTAGGCAGGACTTGCACTTTTCTTGCATGTATGACAGTCGCAACGTCTCTGTGACCTGACCCATTGCTTCTCCGGAAGACACAAAGTAAACCCGGATGGGATGGATCTTTTCTTTCTTCGCCACATCTGCCGTCAGGTTATAGTTCAATTCTATTTTTTTAAAAAGTAAAAAAAACATTTTCAAGTAAACCCTTGCTTATTTAGGGCCATTATGTTAGTTGTAGACTGCTTTTTTCTCCCCCTTTCTTCCACCGTCATCAGCCCTAACTCGATAGAAAAGCTACCAAAAAATATCATGCTAATTAAAAGGTGCCACGTGACGGAGTGAGCTCCCGTCTCTGGTCCCAGCTCCTGCCAACATAGCAGTTCGAAAGCAAGAAACTGCAAGTAGATAAATAGGTACCGCTTCGGTGGGAAGGTAACAGCATTCTGT